ATTAGTCTTCAAAATTCACAACAGAGACACTGAAATCTCCTGAAAGCTCATCTCCCCTTATTTTCTATGGCAGATAAAACTTAGCAGCCTGTCAGCTTTCTAATCTAAACAAACAGCAGGTGCTTTAAGCTGATAGAAACTGACAGAAAAACAACTTTAGTGTCTGTTGTGATCTTTGAGGATGGATTACTTCACAGTGCAAGCAGCTAAAGAGCTCAGTGGTAGCATATTTTAAAATAATTTTACTATTTGTTAGGAATATGTAAACATTTTAACACTCATTCATTGTCTGGACACAGGTTCTTTTTAAGTCTACACACAATGGTGTTGATTTACTAAAGAAATAAATGGTTCTGGATTCTGCTAAAATTGTGAATAGTATTGTGTCATGGGAACGGCCTGCCCATGGTGACTCGCCATCTGGCACGGGGTCCTTGATTGGTGGAGGAGGGTGCTTAATTTGGGCTGATAAAACACTCATGTGAAGCAGTGGTCACAACGTGTAATACCACTGCGTGTCGTTGGAGGGCGACTCACCCAAAGTTAGCTTGCTGAACAAACACAGATCCAATTCTTAAATGCTATCTGGTGCAATCAAATCACCATAAGGGAGGGTAATTCCCCTCTTAGGCAGTTGTCACTGGAACAGGTGTCCACATTGCAAGATTTCCTCTTAACACTTGTTCTGGGGACAACTCTAAAATTTTGGATTTACTGTCACTTTCTTTCTCACTGACAGTGGTCACCAGTACAAAGAGAGTCTGAAATCTCTCCAGTGGGGGCACAGATAGCAATACATACTTGAGGAAGGGTCTAACCCTTCACCTCTCTTTTAAAAAACAAAAAATAAAAAGGTTTTGCCTCAATATACTTTTTAAATCTTCTCCCCAGTTATGTAAGGGTTACCTCTGAGTTTTCTCCAACAATTTAATGGCGTACTGTGGTGAGGATATCAGACAGTGAGGTCCTTTAGGGCAAGGACTGGTGCAGATGGTTCGAGGCTCTTAGTATAATGTGCAATATTTTAGCAGTAGCAATTTACAAATACAGGAAACAGACAGCTTTTAAAATGATTTTTCCTTAAGCTTACAAAAAAGCTTCACTTATAGAGTAAATTACCATCTGCTTGTTATAGGACTGATTTGCATGAACTGGCAGTTTCTATATGAGTCGATAAATAATGAGTCTTCACAAACCAAAGAATAACTTTTGGTTTGTGAGTATAAGTATTTTAGCTGTTTAATTCTTTATTGTTAGTGAAAGAGGTTGGAAACACAGTATGCAGGTCCATTGTTTTATAGAAACTGTGAGCAATAGCGCAAGTGTTAAAACATTATATATAGCTAACTGTTGTACAGAATTAGAGAAACACATGGCCTCATTCTCATGGTTAGGTTTGGTGGGAAGCCAAGGCAGTTTGCCACAGATTCTAACAGGTTCCAGATGATTTCCTCCAAAGAAAGTGAAGTAGATGTGCAGCCCAAAGAGCTTTGATGAGAGACCTGGAATCACAAATGCTGATTATTGGCTGTGAGGACGCACATTAATGATGACCCCTGAGAGGTCATACTGTGATTTTCTTTGGTCTGAATATGCATGCAGTGGCACTTGACAGAGCAAAGAATGATTAGGAATGCATATAACAATAATACTAACCACAAACTCTTTTGTTTGCTAGATTTTAAAAAGCACGAAAAACAACAGGGTGGGCTTGCTAACATTGTTTAGTCTATGTGAAATTGGTTTGCTTTTGTGTCTGTTCATTGGAGTACAGTAGTGCTAATTATAGACCCACTGCCATTACCCGTCTATCCAGTGTAGCATGGTTTGCTCCTAAACCTCTCATCTATATTGTTTATTGAATAGAACAACGTAAATTATCTGATGAAAAAAAATTATTTTTGGAGCAAAATATTATAAGTGGAATGGAAGGTTTGTACTTGAAGATCTGTATTTAGGAGTGGTTAAAAAGTCTTCTCTTCTGGAAGTGGTTATATTTATAGAAACAAAGATCATAGTTGGCAGACTACTATAGACAGCTACAATCTCTGCAAAATGTTATGTCCAAGTGTCTTATCTCCACTGTCTTCCCTCTAAATGAATGCTGCTCATATAGCGTTGACCCTCAAAGGAGCTTCTGAGTTTAACAGGGCTAGACTTGCTACTGGTGCACTGGCTTACTGCTGCCCTATATAACTCACCAAACCATTGGTGACTGAATAATCCACATCCACATCCACTCTGTCTGCTCAAAGTCCAAAGGCAAGAGGGATAGGGTTTACAGGATATCCAAACAGCTACGAAAATCCCTCCACTCAAATAAATGAAAATAAAGAAATAACTTCAGCCCTTCTCATGGACCAAGGATGTGCCTTTAAAGTGACACTAAACTCAAATGTTAAATCTTAAAAATATATTCAACGACCTAAATATTTAAAAAAAAATGTATCTTATTTGTTCAACACTCTAAACACACACTAAAAATACATTCAAGTACCTTAACTATTAACAAAAATTAAATTTTTTTGTCTATCACTCACTGCAGATCCTCACTGTCCTTCCTTCTGGAGGGTGTCTACCTTTGTTCACCATGGTCCCTGTGTGTGTTGTAAAGTAGCCACCACTCCAAGTTCATCTCTGTGGCAGGGCCACTATACCCATTTACACCTGTGCTATACCAGAATTTTCTTCCATTTTGTGGTAATTCAAAGGAGAAAAAATCCAAAAATTGTACTGCAGTGTATTGACAAATAAAATCCTGATTATATGGGTATTAGATAAGCAGAACATAGATCTACTTTAGTGCATATCCGGTATATATTGTATTAATTTCTTTGCATGTACATCCATACCAATGCGTATACCCGAGACTGTTGCAGATGCCTAAATAAGATGCACATGTGTGGATATTCACTTGCTGAGGTCAGGGTGTTACTAACAGTGTTGGTCACAATAAAGAAGCTAGGAGCCAAACACAATGGAGTAGTTTTACTAAAGTTAAATAGGCTGTTCACTTTGCAAGGGAATTTCCCTTTAGCTTAATGAATATGGTGATAATTCCCTTTGCAAAGAATAACCAATCACGGGTAAAGAAAATTATTTAAAAAAAATGTATTTTGGATGTTAGAAGTCAGCAGAGCTTTACATACATTCCTTAAAGTGACATTAAACCCTCAGATTTTTTAACATAAAACAATACTGTAATGTGTGCCTTACTGTAATCCATGGTTGTTTCCCTTCTGTTTGCTGCTCTTCCTTTTAAATCCGTATCTCTTCTCATGCTGGGCAGAACTTCTGTTTTGCAGCAGACTGCCTTGTCTCAGGAATTGATACATGGTGTCTGTGTGCAGGTTCACAACCTGAGCCAGCACTATAGGAAGAGGCACTCAGCTGCAAAGGGAAGTTCTCCCCCAGCATGAGAAGAGATACAGATTTAAAAGGAAGAGCAGCAAAGAGAAGGGAAACTACCATGGATTACAGTAAGGCACACATTACAGTATTGGTTTATGTTAAAAAATCTTAGGGTTTAATGTCACTTTAAGCTACCAGAAAATTCCCTTGCAAAGTGAACAACCTATTTGCACTTTAGGTAGTGACCCCTACTTTGCAACAAGAAAAAACTATAATGTTCTAAGCCCTCATATAGCTTTTAGCATATTCATGATCTTGGGGGCACACATCAGTTCAGAAAAATTCCAGTCAATTCACATCTCTAAAACAAATCTGCCCCATCAGTATTGTGGGGAAGTGTTCCATCTTGAAATTGACGTCATTTTACAGGCAAGTACTGACAACTGAGTGCACAATACGAGCTAACACACTTTGGCATTTAAACATTTTATGGTATATTTTTGGATATCAGTTAGTACAGTTAAGGGACTTTCAGAGATGAAGTTATATGAGGCAGTCTGTGTGTGCATGCCAGTAGTGTGTATTGTTAAATGGCTTGGGTTTCAGTAGAAGCTGATGTCATTCTGGCTCAGCTGGACTTGCCGTATTGTACTAGACCTTACTTATTCTACTGCTTCAAAGATAGTGCTGAGGGACTACTTCACATTACAAAAATACATGCATGCTAATTTCCTGGTCAAAGGGTAGAAATATGTCGGGATAGAGCAGACATTTATGTACCGTGTCCATTCTATGTTAACTTTAGAGTATACCACATTTTCATAGCTGTCAAAATGAAGTACTTTTTGCAGTCATGCAGAAGTATGTCCAAAAAAGTACTAAAGGAAGCCTCTCATGGGAAAAAAATGAAGGTTGCCATTGCCGACCTGTTCTATGTCCTAGAAGCTTGCATGTCATGCTGATGCTATGGGTTTATTACTTTCTGAGTCGCCAACCCACAAAAACGTATACAGATCTGATATTTTGCTGACTTTTAATTGCTGCATTCTCACTACCTGAGGTGGTATAAATATTTTTCAGAACCTTTTTTTCTTAGCTAGGACATCCCTGAAGGAAACTGCTTTATTTATTGGTAAAGTGCTGTGACTGGCCAATCTAATGAATGCTGTGTCAACCAAAGGCACTCAATCCAAACAACAGACTTCATCTTTTAAACAGATGCATGTTAATAAACGTGTTTGACAGAGGGGGCTTTTTTCTCCACTCTATTTCATTCATCACATATGAATCCTCTTAATTTGTTCCATTAAAGTAATTGGTAGTAAGGTTTATCTTAGGTGTGGATAATATCCTCTCAACTTTGAAGGCTGTTCCACTGACGCCTCCTTATTAATGGCCTCCTTGACCATTTTGACTAGAGGCTAGATAGAAGCAAAATCAACCTTCCCTCATCCAGAGAATGCATGGTATTCATTGAGAAAAATACAAGGTGTCTTGTGAATGGACGCTACAATCAGCTTTGCTACTCCCTGTTTCTGTCGCAGTCTGTGCAGCGGTGTAGCCTCTTGTAGACCCAACCAGGGGCACATGTGAGAACTTCCCTGCTCAATCATTAATAATGACAATGTTGCATCTGTGAGATTGAAAGTATGGTAACACTGCAAGCAAGAGGTAATTGTGTAACCATTTCTATTGTCTTTTGCACAATCTTAAGATTTACAGAACATGTATATCTGTCAGATTGGTCATAGGTGTGAATTACCAACTTTTTAATCATCAGCTCACATGCTCATCAGCAGTAGTTGAGACTGTTATTCCAAACGTTTTCATGTATTAGAGCTGAATGTTAACCATTGATTGAGAAATGATTCATGATGCATTATTTCAGCCCAACTAAATGAGAATCTTATACATGTGGGATAGAAGTAGCCACACCATAGAACTAAAAGCCGCCTCACTTTTGTAAGATCTGGCTTAATTCATAAAGTTTTACACAAGGATAAGGATCTTTAATTTCAGCCATATTATATTTCAAATTTTATTGGACACATTGGCTGAAAATAACTGTAACTTTATTTTAAAAATGACGTTCCTTTATCTGGTGTTTTAGCTTTGTGAATTAAGCCTATTATGTTATTGCTCTCTGTTGAATGAAAACGGCTAAAGTGCCTAGGCGAATAAGATTACCAGATATGCAGTAAATAGAAAATGCAAACATAATCTATTGAGGAAAACCATGTTAATATTTTGCAATGACCCATAGCAAAACGTATACAGACATATAGCTGTTTCATGTATAAATACAATCCTATTCTTTGTTTATTGTACTTCTGTCCTCATATTGCCTTTTGCATTTTTGCTTTGTTGAGGTCAAAGCAAGATCAATAGCACATTTGTGTGGCTGCATAAAAGGTGAGCAGTCTGCAGAAATTGACCTGTTGGTCAGAATGTAGGGAACTGTAGATGTACACAAGTATTTCATTGTCTATGATATTAGACTTGAGACACTTTGAAAAAGAAACACTCGAAGCTGAGCTCCAGGCAAAGGACTAAAAATACACAAATGAAATACATATAAGGGATTCGTTTCACCTGCCAATGGATTTGTATTATTGTCCATCCATTCCTGAAATGTATACAGCAGGGCAGGATGCCTGATTTCTCTTTGCTGCAGTTCACAGTATTACTTAGGCTATGTTCACACTGTGTGGTCACTGGAGATTTATGCCCTGGGTCACCAGTCATTGCAAGGGTACATATAAAGCAATTATTTTCTATGTGCCCTGTTCACCCTGCAATGCTTCAAGTGGGTTGCGGTGCAGTGCAGAAAAATGCAGACATGCCTGTGAGTAGACAATGAAAAGAGAAGCAGCAGACTGAAAATCTAATCTATCAGTCTCTATTATTAGCATGCCCGTTGCACTGATTTACAATGAATTGGCTCCTAGTGCTGCTTCTTCCTCTGGCAACCTGGGCTCTGCTGTACAGGTACTGCAGGAAGCTTATACCAAGTCAAATTCTGGTACATACACTGGTTGCATTTAAAAAAATATATATTTCAGAATTATTAATAAATACTGTAGATATCTGCGTTTGTGTATGTTATATCTGTCTGGAGTGTTTAAGGAGAAGTATTGGGAAAATAAAATGTACTCTTCCCAATAGTTTGAGTTGGCATGTGACAGCTGTCAAATTCTGGCTTCATAAATGGAGAGCTGAGCGCTATCCGTCACGGCTCCCCACAGGGATTCCCCCCTCCCCTCTATGTTCCTCCAGTGCTCATTGGAGGGATAGACAGGGGAGGGGGCGGGCACAGCTGAATCTAGAGAGGCAGAACCAGCTGTCAGTCAGGCAGCAGGGTGGATCCTGACAATATTGTCAGGATCTTCCTGACTGTAGCACAGCTCTGTGTTGTCAGCAAATAGCAGGCAGTAGCCCGCTAAATGCTGACTTTGGGTCACAGGAGTACATCAATTTTATGTTCCAGTAAGAGGGATTCAGGATGTGTTTATGTGAAATGAGCACAACTTAAAATAATCTGCTCAAGATCAATACAAATAATTCATTATTGTTTATTAAAATGGCATCATATACCTGTGTGTTTATTTAGCAAAACTGTGCAAAGAGCAATAGCCACAGAGATCATTTGGATTTCAGATCAATGAAAAATAACCTGATTAGTTCTGTTGTGCTGCATTTTGGTCTGTTCTAATGGGATCTACTGTCCTAAAATATGTAAAGAGGTCCTTCATATCATCGTCACCGTCCCTCTGCTTTGTGGCAGCCTACAGTCCTGTTGACAAATTAAATTTCATACATATAACTGCATGGGTCTGATTTAGTAAATTAAATGTCACTCTGCCATCAAAAGTGAGTAGTTTTCAGTCTCCTAGGCAGGCAACAACAGTGCATTCCCTACAGAGCTGTACTCCTTGTTTGTCAACTTCCAGTTTAATATTGATGGTCAATTAAATAATAAGGAATAGTTCATTCCACATTATTTCTAGCTGAATTCCTTCTATAAAAAAGTAAAATAAACTGTTATAATTAGATTGATGACACGGGTTATTCAAATGAAATATAAGATGTCATTATTCATTTTATGTGGCTAATTATATATTTCTAAGCTGAAATAATTTACAGTTATGGATGAGCTGAGTAATTTTGGCAAAATTGTTTTAGTTTTGAAATGACCTTAACCAAAACATTGTCTAAATGAGACTTAAATTTTGATATGCGGATTCCTTAGGCAAAATTTGCTTGAATACAAAAATAACATGGGTTTGTTTTCTAATAAAGCCATGTGATCACCAAGTCAATGCTGACCTGTAATCACATGGCTTAACAAAAGGTTAGGGTTAGTGTTAGGGTTAAATGCAGGGTAAGGGTTCCTTTGTTGCTCAATTCCTAATGTCATGTTTCCAATTAATGAGATGGACACAAAAACAGGTTCAGGATAGTCAATTAAAGATTCTCTAACCATCAGAAGCCAATTAAAGCCCTTCTAGCCTTAAAAACCACCTTAATTTCACCTTACCTCTTGACTCCATTTTGGCAATATGGCAACATTTCATAGAAATACCCCAATTTAAAACAATAACTCCAAATTTTGGTAACAAATTATTTAAAAAACTGCTTCTAAAAAAAGCCTGCTGATTGCTCCTGTGAGGTATGGTGGTGTTCTACTTAAAATGAGCAGTTACAAATATGGGGTTGTGCGCTAACTACATTTGAATACCATATTCTCAAACAAGTATATACATGATCTTTGCATGAATGTTCATTGTGCCCAGTTAGGGGTAGGTATCCCAGATGCATCATCATTTCACTTTATTGTAAGCTCATGAAACCTTTCGTGTATTACATTTTTGGTGTTATTAATCAATTATTACATATAAATCAACTTTTTTCCTGGCAAGACTTATACAGTTCTTTTTCTGGCACCTTGGAATAGCAATTTTAATGTTGAATGTTAGTTTCACAGGTAACACCTCGATTTATATAAAAGCAGCATAAATCAGACTCTGTCCAGGAAAGAACATCTTTGAAGCTGTGTAAATTTTACACTTTTATTTCTATGATTGCCTAGAGCAGCAGGAAGTATTTAAGTTGCTCAGCCAGCTGTGAATGGCTTTATTGACATGGATGGGAGGAAAAGCTGCTTTAATTTGCTCTGCAGTTCTCTCGATATTTCAGCAGAAGTCCTTAGAACTTCACAAGCACTTTTTTTTACATCAATTGCAACTTGTTAATAACTAGACAGGTTTACATATGTAGCCACTACCTTTTGTGGAGTGCCTACTAGAAATTTAGGGTTGGCAGAGCTGTGGTCAGTCTTGCTGAATTATAGTTGGCATTTATCTGGTTAATTCCAGGTGTTCTGACATTGATTGTACCTGCTTGAGTGGGGAATGACCCTGCTGCAGTGTAGGACAGCCAAGGGGGAACTTTATGAGTATGTGTGGCTCACCAGCCAATCACTGGGAGTCTCACGACCAGTGGTGCATGCTGGGGGAGTGCATATATACTCAGGAGAATTGCCACGTGCTCAGTCTTGTCCACCCCGGGCTTAGCCGGGGGTGGGATGCTCAATTGTGGGAAATGTTGTCTAGGCCTCAAGCCTGGAGGAGGCCTAATACAGATTGAGGAGGAGAACCAGAGAAGCTTGCCCCCCTTTGTCATGTCCCTGGTGACCAGGTCTGCCTTGCCTCTAGTTGCACCCTCAAACAATGCTATCATTTATTTTAATAACAACAGAAGCACAGTATAGAGGTGCTGGAGACTTTTCAGTGAGTCTGCCAATTTATATACGTGTATTGTAAGACAGGCCAGTAAGGATTAAGCTGGAAGCATGGCTTGTATAGGTTATGAGTAGGGACGCACCGATATATCGGCCGCCGAAACAAATCGGCCGAAAATGGCACTTTTGGCATCATGCCGAAAGTGCCATTTTCTGGCCGATACAGCGATGCATCCATTTTTTCTGTCCCCCCGCTGGGCGCTGCTCTGTGTTCCAGCGGGGAGGAGAGAAACTGTGACAGGAGGCCGAGCTCTGCAGGAGGAGAGTGCTGTGAGCGGCCGGTGTTCTGTCGAGAATGCTGACCCAGTCGAATTTGCCGGCCTGACCATCTGCACTTGCGCACACCCCGGGATGAACAGGAAAACGGCCATTTATTTACAAAGTATTTATTTCTAATTGTTAATTGTGACCATTCATAATATGCCATACATGTCATATAATGGCATCCATGGCATGTAATTGCTTACGATATTAATTGTAAATGTGCATAAAATGCTATCCATCTTTTACAGCCATGGATGGCATATTATGAACAGTCACAATTAACAATTAGAAATAAATACTTTGTAAATAAATGGCTGTTTTCTCATTCATGCCTGTGTGTGCGCAATCGCAGATGGTCAGGTTGGCAAATTCGACTGGGTCGGCATTCTCGACAACACCGGCGCCTCTCCTCCCCGCACTGCTCAGCCTCCTGTCACAGATCAGAGGAGAGCAGTGTGGGCAGAGACAGCCAGCGCTCTCTCAGCCATCGATCAGTGATCGCTGAGTGTTTGTAAATAATTGAGGACATAGCATGTTTACTATATCCTCAATTATGAATGAATGGGAGTGATCTACATCACCTCCTGTTCATTCATGAACGTGGTTATAGTAAACATACTATGTCCTCAAGATATGAATGAACAGGAACGCTCAGTATAGAGGATTCCTGTTCAATTCGGCCTGGCATTTTTTAAAATTTTGGTTTAGTTTCTGTTTTGAAATTGTAATTTCGGTGCACCTCTAGTTATGAGTATCTATGGCTGCTTTCATGTTCACATATAATTACAAAGTATACATAGGAACAAGATATTTTACATCAAGCTGATATAATTTTCATATATGTAAAAAAAAGGAAATAATAGTTATAAAAATACCTCAATGTGTTATAACTGTAAACATTTAATCCAACTATAAATATTGACCTGGATTCAACCTAGGATCTTTCATCAAATATAATTATTTTTCCTTGGAAAAAAATACAAAAAGCTCTACCAACAACAAAAACACACCAGTCATCAAGCATACAAAAGACTACACGAATAATCAATGTAGTCAAAAGCAAACACTTAGCCATTGTATCTTATGCTGTTTATTGTGTTTAAACTGATTCCATGCTGAAAGCCTCAGAAGGTACAGCTATAAATTTAGAAATACATATTTGAACTGTGTGTAACCTGGAACATTTGTATAAGTGCTGACTAATACCTGAGTTTTAGACGTACTCATCCATACATTCAAGGTCTTGTAATATAAATTCCATAGGTTTAATGTTTATTGGTTCACATAAATCCCAGAAATTAGGGTTTTACCAAACATTTAAACATTGACAGAGCCATGGAGATCATTCATTTATGCCCCTGCGACCAATTGTGCATCCACAAAGCTGGTTTATAGCGCTAATGTAACCTAATATGATAGTCATTTCTTCAAAATGAGATGCAGTAATTTTTGACTAGTTGACCAATGGTCTCTAAAAAGTATGGCATGGGAGAGCTTTAATGTTTATTTTCAGTCCACTATAGCCTCACTTCTTATTCTCTTAGGTTCATAGCACAGAATCATACATAACTAAATCTAAACTGACTTGGATAAAGAAATTGCTTAATGTTAGTAGGCACTCTTACATAATCTAGTTTATTCACTGTGAGCTAGGGCTTGCCGATTCTCTTCACAAGCAAGCCCAATTTACTTAAGTGGACTGAAAGAGGTCTAGAAATACATCACTGTTGTTTGGTTACCTAAAATTAAAGAATGCAAATTTAGGAATAGTTGACAAATGTACCAAAAATGTATTAAGACATAGGGGGTGATTTACTAAAGGCAAATAGGCTGTTCACTTTGCAAGGGAATTTGCACTTTGCAGGGAAAGTTTCCCTTAGCTTCGTGAATGAGGTGAAGTTCTGCTGACTTCCATTATCCAGTCATGTGAAGGCAAAAATACTTTCTTTTTACATTTTCCTTGCACATGATTGTGTATTCTTTGCAAATTAAAAATCAACACATTCACCAAGCTAGGGGAAACTTCCCTTGCAAAGTGTATGGCCTATTTGCCTCTAGTAAATCAACCCAATAGTTTGTAATGATTGGTTATTTTTAAATAGTCATATGCAGACTAAAGCCTGCAATTAACCTTTCATTATCCTGCATAAATAAAAGAGAGCATGTGATAAAAAATGCTGACACACAGGCTACTACTGTAAAAGGGATCGGTAGAGCCAGAGACATAGGTCTGTGAGGCTGCCCAACACTTTAAAGCAGTGGTTCTCAACTCGTGGGTCGCGACCCAAAAGTGGGTCGCGACACCCTCTGCAGTGGGTCGCGGCGTCATGTCTGAATAGACCGGCCTGAGACTGAATAGAGAAATAGAGGGAATTTGTGGTTCAGCCTGTGGAACCTCATGTCAAACTGTCCCCTCTCTCCCGGCCTCCCCCGGGCTCTCCGATAAAGTGATATGGCCCGGGGAGCGAGGGGACTATTTCCTCACTTTTGGGCCGGCGCAATAATATCAGGAGCCGCGGCTCCCGACAATTAAGTTATAGTTCCGACTATAGGGAAACTTGGTAGATGAGAGGGGACAGGGCCACCCTTTACAGAACAAAATCATGATTTTCATATAACTTGAAGTAGTATTAAACACTCAAACTTTTTTCAGTAATGAATGTAGATCAAACAAATATACATTGACCAGCAAAGTTTTTTTTTTCAAATTTGGCCCAAGCACTTACAGTCATCATGTTTCTGAACAACTGGTTCCAACTCTCTTAGCTCTGCTTTCTGCTACTTTCTGTTGAGTACAAGATCACAAGGGGCAGAACAGTCTCCAGCAACTATCCATCTACTAACATGGAGAAAGGAGAGGGGGAGAAGGAGGAGTGAGAAGCAAAGAGGAAGGGTGTGGCTTGCCCTGCTGTATCTGTGTGTTTTATGGAGACACACAGCTTACTAGCACACAAAAGGGTGGCTCCGTAAGTTCCTGCAAAGGAAAGGAGCCAACCTTAATTAGTATATCAGGGCCAGTACTCAGAAAGGGTAGCAAAATGATTAAAACTAACATTTAAACAAATGTGATTCTTCCCATCATTTGCATCTATCTCATTTAGCAAAGTTTGCAGTCTTCTGCCCTATTATACTTTCATTTAGCAAACATGGCTGTATTTCTGTCAGTAAGTGATTGCAAAGTCAAATATGTTTGCAGATCTTGCAGAATTGTGAGCTTTTCAAAATAGCAGACTGCGTTTTACAATTGTAAATTTGTTATTGAATTCCTACTATATAGATGTAAAAGACATTGACTAAACTAATAATATTCTTCAGGCACTTACTCAGGCACTTAAGAAGCTTAAGACATATTGCTGAACACTGTAGTTCTAGTTCTTAGACAAAATATAGCGTCATATGATTTGTAGCTGATTGATGCATGTTAGCTTCAGATTGTTAAGCTGTCATCTTGCCAGTTCAGTCTCCCAACAGAAGTTTTTAATGTCCATTTAATTTACTAGAAGCGAAAGGACAGTAATGAATCTCGACAGGTATATATACATAAATCATTATAGTTCTTTCTTATCTTTCTGAATTTATTTTCTATGAGAATCTCAATGGTTTTACAAAAATGCTTGAACTTTTTCACAGTGATGACAATTTCTGTTGAAATGTTGAGCTGTGAAAATATTAGTTTACCGTATTAAACCATGAAATCAAGTACTAAACTTTTATTGCTAGATGTGCCTCCCAATGCAGAAACAAGCAGGGCAGTGAAACAGCTGTATCCGTACCAAGAGGCAAGCCATGTTTAAATTAGTGAATGAAGCCATGTGGCAGACGCTGTACTTGCTAGACCTGAAATTCTCTAGCGGTACCAGGTGAACTGGAGTTTGAGAGAACACAAGGGCCATTCATAATTTAGTGTCAATTGCAGCCTTAGCTTGTTGCAGAAGATTAGAACTCAAGGTGCTAATATTAACTTTCATAAAGTGTGAAATATGAATATTTACCACTGAATTATTCAGTCATTTAATCCCTATTTAATTAAAATAGAACCTTTTCTGGTATGACTGTTTTGCTCTCCATATATATGCAGAAACCTCTGTTTTTATCTCCGTGTTGGAGTATTGTTAGGCTGATTTTGCTGGCTATCAGTATTGAGTGCTGGAGAATGTTTATATTATTCATTTTTGCGCGACCTATTTTTATTTTATTTTGTTTTTTTTATAAACTGTTGTTTCTATATCGTTTTATTACCTATATTCAATATTATTATTATCATTATTATAAACATTTAATACACGACAAAAGATTCCCAGAACACCTTGGATTGGCTAAAGAGACAGCACAGTAGGCGCTTTGAAGCTCATTCTGTCTGTGTGAAACTTTGGACTAAGACGTCTGGTTAAGGATAGGTCCCTGCTCTGTTCACTAATCCACTTATGTGTGCACGTGTGTGGAACTGTCAGCTTTAGTCATTGAGCTATGTAGACCTAAATAAAGAGCCTGAAAAGGACTCTAAAATTCCACGTTCTAGCTCTGAAGAAGAAAGCACATTAATAGAGTAAAGTAAGAATTTATGCACAAATCCGCTAAATATTGCCTTCAATCCATGACTGCTTCTCATGCATATATATGGTGATTATACAGGTTATGCCATGACAGTGTGTTAGTCAGTTTGCAATCAAAACTATAATGGATATAACAAATAAACTATGCCTAAACCTTTCATACAGGAGTAATGTAAAGCTAAGCTACCCTGAGCTGGGCACTAATGATTGATTTACAGTATACCTGTTACTTTCAGAGTGCATTGTAATGACAGATGAGCTTTTGTTTTTTTTACCTGAACTCACTCACCACTATAGCAACCAATTACCAATAATGCACTTCTAGGCCCTCGAACAGTGATCAGGTGGCTTGAAAGGGCCAATAATGGGGGTTTTTATATGTGCCAGCCCCTCCCTTTAAAGGATAGGGTTCCTAGCAGGCTTTTGTTTAAGTGTTTTGGAGAGGCCTGGACTAGATAGTGAGAGTTGATTTTTAAGATTTGCCCTTTATAGACTTCAATGTGGTTCAGATTAAAGTAAAGACTTTACAATGAGCATTACAAACAGCCCGCAAAACAAACCCCGATCAATTCTCTCATCCCTAGTTGTAATTCTGTTGCAGGAGTTTTGTTAACAAATCTTAAGAATGACATCATTATCATAATGCTGTGTGTAATTTGTTCTCATCCTCCTTGTGTATATTTAATATAAGTTATGTTTATCTCTTGTGGCTGAAACATATATTTGTTTCTCTTTTACAGCATGCATGTTCCGGTACAGTGGAATATCATTTGTCTACCTCATCTACCTCTTGCTTATTCCTTTATTTTCAGAGCCCACCAAGATAACAATGCAAGGTAAGATCCTATTTACATTAAACTTCTTGTTTTGATTTATATATTTTAGATGAGGTTAGCCTAGTCATACTATTTCTATTACTTGTATGACACACCTGGCCATAAACTTGTTCAATAAACACAGTGCTTTTTTTCAGGACTCACACCCATTCACATAAGCACCTGTAAACATTTTATTAGGTCAAATGGCTCAGTGCAGGTGGATACTCGCTGAAGAATCAGCCAAATTTTTACAGTGTTGTGTTAAAATGAACATAGACTGAAGCGATCCGCTTTGAAACTCCATACTTCCATTTTTTTGGAGGTTCAATGGGCAGCTTCTTGCTTGGAAAAGAGTATGGCCTGGTTATGAATGGCTAAATAGGAGCTAGTGTTTTTCTGTGGATAGTCTAGTAAATTTGTACTTTGTTTATTTTTTTAACTGTACTTTTCAGAAACATCAGAGAGCAGAATACCCATCAAATAAAGAAAATATCTATTGATTTTATATACACTTACACATGTGTACACTAAACAGTCTAAGGGTAAAAATTACATAGAAGATTTAAAGTGGGCAGGGCCAGGAAGGAATTAGAGTTTTATGGTTTGTAAGGTAATTCTGTTGTTATATATCATTGATATATACAATGTGGAAACCTTTTTTTCCCCATAAAACCTACCTAAATGGAATCTGGGGTTTGTCCATGCATGGCAGTGTAACAGTTACAGGCAACCCCCTCCCCCCCACAGTAGCTCATTCGCACCTTCCCTTGGCTGCCACACCACTCCTTTGGTCCCCTGGACGTGAAGAAACACACTCAGTACTTCTAGGTTTGGATGAGCTCGTGACTCATTCCTCTTCCTTTTATGTGACTATGCTAATGATTGGTAACTGGCTGCTCAGGCACTTAGCACTGTCTTATGGGGTGACTACTATTGTAGTTGGTTAAAATACACCAGATAATAAATCACATTATCTATGTCAGTGTTTTTACCAAGCGTGACTAGTAGTTCTATCATAAAGTATGTGTAAATATTTATTGATAATTGTGGCAGAAAAATAAATGTGCAAAATGTTGGTGTATGAGCGGGTACTTGCGTCACATACACATGACAAGAGGAATCACATTTTACAGATTTTCATTGAAAAGGATGTAAACACCGGTCAAGGACAGGGCTGTAGAATTAAGGTATGTACAGGGCTGCAAGAGGTGTTAGTGTAGGTTAGCCTGAGATGAGGGTTAGCAATAGTTTATATCAATGTACAGCTGTCCTTTAAAGTTACACTAAACTTTTTTTATTAAATCTTAAAAATACATTCAAGTACCTTAACTATTATCAAAAATTGTATTTTGTTGTGTACCACTCGGCTGTAGATCCTCAAATCATCTCTCAATTGGTGCTACCACTGTCCTTTCTTCCGGAGGGTGACTACTTTTGTTTACCATGGTCCATGTGTGTCTTGTAAAGTAGCCAAGCTCGTCCTGTTGATAGACTATAACTTCAGTACAAGCTGGTAAACTAAATGTGAGAATTTAGTCAGAAACGGGAGTGAGCTTGGCTACTTTACAAGCAAAGACAGAGACACCGGCACTCCAAATGATAAGCAATCAGCATATGCTTTGGTATGCTTTGTTTGAGGAAGGGGATCCTCTGCGACCCCGAAACGTTCGTTGCTATACTTGCTATACTGCACGTCAATAAATAGACGTTTGCTTATCATTTTGGAGTGTCGGTGTCTCTGTCTTCACCTATGATGGTTACGGCTGCCACGCGTTGACTACCGCAGCACCCACTTCTTTAAAGGATCTTTGCAGTCAGGAGTGTGATGTGACCATGGACTTTCTGGCTACTTTACAACACACACAGGAACCATGGGGAACAAAAGCAGCCACCCTCCAGAAGCTAGGACAATGTCAGCATGAATTCAGAGCTGGTTTGAGGATCTACAGCCGAGTGATACACAAATAAGATACATTTTTGTTAATAGTTATGGTACTCGAATGTATTTTTAAGATTTAACTCCTGCGTTTAGTGTCACTTTAACTGTGTTACCACAGTTACAAATAACGACCCATGACAAAGTTTATCTATCTATCTATCTATCTATCTATCTATCTATCTATCTATCTATCTATCTATCTATCTATCTATCTATCTATCTATCTATCTACAATTGGCAAGTGTTTGCAATTGTCGAAGTTTTTTCGATCGTCGATTCGTCGGCTATTGATTGATTAGCCTGTTTGGGGCTCCACACACGACCTGAGCCACACGTCACACGCTGCGCCCGACGCTGAAGCCACGCCCACCGCACAGGACGCTGATGCCGCGCACTCCGCTTCTCTTCTTGCTTTGAGCTCCCTCACTCGGCGCTGGCCCGCCGACAATCGATCGGAAAGTAAGTCCGGACCCATTAAACTGTACCCCACACCCGCTAGGGAACTACAAATCCAAGCATGCCACCAAAGAGCGAGCAGAGCAGGGAGGAGAGATCCGCCTCCTGTGACAGCGCGGCCTGTCTCCGCCCCCACACCGCTCTGCTGGACTGTGATAGGTGGCTGAGCGGTGTGGGAGGAGAGACGCCGGCCGCTCACAGCGCTCTCCTCTCGCAGCACTCCGCCGGCTGTCACTTTCTCTCCTCCCCGCCGGGACACAGAGCAGCGTCCAGCGGGGAGGAAAGTAATCACGGATGCGCCAATGTATCGGCAGGAAATGGCACTTTCAGCATTTAGCCAAAAGTGCCATTTTCGGCCGGCACCCCCCTCAGCTGCGTGCCCGGGGCAAGCGCACCTGCTGCCCCCCCGGTTGTTGCGCCACTCACCAGAATATATATGTATATATATCTAGCTGGTGATATTCTGCATTGTGCCACTGTATTATACAATGCAGAGCACCAGCAGTTATAGAGGAACACCAAATCCCAACAATAATACATTAAGCAGCCTGTATAATGCATTATTGCTGGCATTTGTTGTTCCTCTATAGCTGCTGGTATTCTCCATTGCGCTGTATAATGTATTATTGCTGGGATTTGTAGTTCCTCTATAACTGGTCAGTGGTATTCTCCATTGCGCCGTATAATCATACAGCGCAATGAAGAATACCACCAGCTATAAAGGACTACAAATCCCAGCAATAGTACATTATAGTATAAAGGACTATTGCTGGCATTTTTGTTTTCCTATATAGCTGCTGGTATTCTGCATTGCGCCGAATAATCATTATACAGCGCACTGCAGAATACCACCAGCTATAGAGGACTACAAATCCCAGCAATAATAAATTATACAGCGCAATGCAGAATAACGCCAGCTACAGAGAACTACAAATCCCAGCAATAGTACGCTGTAGTGTACAATTGCTGTGATTTGTTGTATTCCTCTATAGCTGCTGGTATTCTGCACTGCGCTGCTGTATAATGTACTACATTGCACACCACACTTTTTTTTTTACTTCCACCGCTCCAAGCTTGCTCCTGTGATGAACTACAATCTCAATACAAACTAGTAGTCCATCACTGGAGCCTCCCCCCCCTGATTAACCGATTAATCGAACTTAATAATCGGCCAACTAATCGATTTTGAAAATAATCAATAGCTGCAGCCCTACTGCAAACATAAAGACAGTTTTCAGTATGGTGGAGTGTAAATGTCCAGTGCACACCCAGTTTTGTGTCTAGGATATTTTAGAGCTAATATGAATGTTATTGTGCAGCGTGTCCATCAGTGACCAACAATCTGGTATTCATTGTGGTGTTCAGCATGACTGTCTGTCTGGCATATGTATATCTTTATGCCCTTCACCTATGGAACACATTATTTGTTACTTGTGAGGAGCGAGCAGCACTCTTATTTTCCCAAATAGATTGCCGTCGGGCATACGGAGGCGATCCGGGTTGTATGCCCGGGCATATTTGCAGGGGCAGGCCTGGAGCAGTAGCTCCACCTGCCCCTATGCTAATCTGGCCCTGGGAGACACACACAGTTTACTAAAACACCCAAAGTAGGCTTCATAGGACACTGCAAGGGAATCGAGCCCCCCTAAAACAGTATATCAGGGCCAGTACTCTGGAGACCAGCTGATTCTGTAGGAAACTAAAACTTTTAAACATCAAGAAGTAGCATCAATTGTAAGTGATTTAATCAGCATTTGAAATAGCCTAAAAACCTTTTGACTTTAATATAACTTTAACTGATAAAAGATGTGTCTCTTTCTGATCAGTTTAGCTTTGGTGCACCGTAATGCATAATTTGTCATCTTGTGTTGATTTGGGGGGTGGGGGTATTATAGTCATAAAGAGCTTGATGAAAGACAGCTTGGTGCATCTGCCAGTTTCTGAAATCTTTTGTGCATTACAGGGTAATTACTTGTTACTTTCTTTAGAAATCTGTTTATTGATTGGTCTTGCATGCTGAGGATGAGCAGATAGAGATGTATTGGTACTGAAGACATAATTTGCTGAGCAGTGAAATGTGACTTACACTTTACATAGAATAGATAGTACCATGGTTAATTGCAAACCAGTCTAATCAAGGTCTGCATTGTGAACAATATATGTAACATACAACGATAAATAAAGCATAGGTTTCATGAAGGCTATTTATCAAGAGGTTGTTTTTACCAAGGCTGTTATTTATAGGGTTCAAGACCATTTTATTTTAATGGAGAAGTGATTAAAGTGATCACTTTAACACTTAAAGGTACTGAAAATGAAAGATAAGCTGTGGAACAATGCTGCCAAGGTTCCATGTCACAAGGGCCAACTGTAGAGCACTTCTGCCACTATTCAACTCTGATCAGTGTTTAGGGCTGCCACCGACTAATCGATAAAAAATCAATAACGAAAACTGTTGTCAACTATTCTCATTATTGATTAGTTGGGTGGATCCCGTAGCTCTTGCCTCCATGCTGGGAGGAGGGCACAGCAAGCAGTGGGCGGGTGCAATAGCCAGCCTGCTATTGGCTATTGCAATTTGAAATGGCCAATAGCACCAGCCCACTACCTGCTGTATTTACAT